GAATCTCTACAAGGTTTTCAAATATTGCATTCGATTGGTGGCGGTACAGGTTCTGGTTTCACTTCACTTTTAATGAACTCAATGGTGGAAGAATATACTGATAACTTGATATCTAACTACGTTGTAATACCGTCAAAAAATACATCCCAAACTGTTGTGGAACCATATAACGCCTTACTAAGCATACCCTCTTTAGTGAATAACTCACATTTGACCTTTTGCTTGGATAATGAAGCGCTATTTAATATTTGCAAACGAAATCTTAAAATTGAACTATCCGGATATGAGCACATCAATCATATAGTTGCCTTAACAATGTCTGGTATTACAACTTGTCTACGCTTTCCTGGACAACTAAATGCTGGTTTACGAAAAATCTATGTTAACATGGTACCATTTCCTCGTTTACATTTTCTAATTCCAGGTTTCGCACCGTTAGCTACCTGCCAAGAACGAAAATTTGCACAAGGAACAGTTGCTGAATTAGTACAACAAATATTCTCTTCTAATAATCTAATGTGTGAAATAGATTTGCGAGAGGGCAAACTTTTAACTGCAGCTGGAATATTTCGCGGACGTCTATCTCCACGTGAAGTTGATCAGTTAATGACAAATGTCCGAAACAAGAATATTGGAAATTTCGTAGATTGGATACCAAATAATATAAAGACCGCTATTTGTGATATACCGCCGCGCGGGTTGAAGATGTCAGCCACATTTATTGGGAACACCACAGCTATTAACAAACTTTGTGCACGAATAATGGATACCAGTACAATTATGTTAAAGCGGAAAGCACATTTACATTGGTTTATCTCAGAAGGAATGGAAGAAGAGGAATTTTATGCTGCGCAAGAAGAATTGCAAGCAATAATGAATGATTATAAAGAAAGTGGGGAACCACTTGCAGACGAAATGGCAAATCCATGTGCATATTGTGTGGAAGAGGAATAGTATAGTGATGATATAAAAAAATAAACTGTTCTGTATATCATGTGATGTAGACGTCGACATGAAATAAATGTATGAGTCGCAAAAATAGACAATTTCCAGAGCAATTAAAAAGCATAATCGCAGCTACTAAAATTCTATAAAACAACCCGCTTCATTTTTCTAAATTATTAGTATATATTTTTATATTCATATTTTGTTAAAGAAAAATTTTTCAATTAAATAATCAATTTTGAAACGATAACTCAATTTTTTTTTACTGCAATATTTATCGATGTTGATGATATCGGGTTGTTGAACAGCTCTCGACAAGTCTTCGTACTATGCGGTACTTAACAGGGTTCAGCGAAGACCTGAACTCTGTATTAGTGGGGCGTTATGCACCACACCAGTCATTGTACTAAATTTGATGTTTCACTTACTGCTACTGGATATCATTAGTAAACAACAAACAAATGGCAGCTTCATCTGCTCTTAGAATCAAAGCTACCTCACAATGGAGAGCCTCCGTTCTTAATCTTTTCAATCTTACTCCTAAAAACATTGACTACATCTCTCCTCTCCTCCATTTCAACAGAAAATTTAATGTCGAATTTCCATCTAGAGATTTATGGACGTCAGGTGATCCTTCATTGGGTAAGTGAGTAACCATTTTTATTGACGGATTCAAAACAAATAATGGTGTAGACAGTGGAGTTTATTTAGAGGAACTGAATAAATTTTCCTACTTTAGACTTCCGAATCATTGTAGTGTTTTTCAGGCGGAAATTATCGTCATTAGGGAAGCTATAGCTTGTTTGAATGTGAATGATGTATTTGGCAGCAATATATACATACTAACAGACAGTAAAGTTGCTTTAAAGTCCTTGAGTTCAGTCCAAATTACATCTAGGACGGTTTTTGACTGCTACACATCTCTAAACTAATCTCTAATCTGGGATCTGGGGATATTTTCGACAATTGTAAAGCAAACGAACTAGCCAGTAAGGGTGCTTCAGAATATCACTCGGAACACCCAAGTAATCTTAATAAATATCGTTAACATCATGCGAATTGTTACTAAATTCTTTCTGTGCTAAAATTTTTAATAAAAGATGGAAAGACAACGATATGCAGGCACCTGTATACAAGCTGGCCATTTTCAACAAAATGAAAATCCAAAATTCTCACTGAGATCTACCGTAGAGATATCAGTCTTTTGGTGAGTTTACTTACAGAACACTGCAAACTAGGGAACCATGCTAGAAGATTAAATCTACCTTTCAATCATACCTGTCGCCTCTCATCTCCTTTTCTTGAGGATCTTGATCAATTACAAGACCCGACACTAAACAACATTTTGTACGTCGCCTTAAGTTATAAACGTTAAAACAATATGCCGCATTAATAACTAGTAATAAGTTTATAATGCTAACAAATACTAATTAATTCTCCGTATATGTACCTAAATTTACTATTATTGATAACAGACTGTTTTATTAATATACTCGTATATGAAAATAAATACACCTTCAGTTTTTGCATATTAATTTGTGCATTTAATAGCAATTATTATTGTTAATATCTAAATATTTATTACTTGTTTTTTCATGACAATAGTGGTTAATATATTTTGGAATATTAGACGTAGGCATTGGGTAGAGTAATACAAACAATAGACGCGAATTTACTTATCTAAATGAATGTTAACATATAAACAATACATTGCTTAATAAATAAATAGTATCTTAATTTTGGAAAACTTAAAAATTATAGTAATGATGAATATTAATATATATAGTATTAATATAAAAATGTATCCACTTAAGATGTTAAAAAATTCCATTGTGTAATTATGATCAGAAACTCCAGTTTCCAGTGTGTTATTATAAAATTATCACTTTATAATGTAATTTTTTTAACATACCGCACAATTCTATCTTAAGTTTATATATTTGAATGGCTGTAATTACTAGGAAAAATGCAACATTGTAAAAGATTACTAATATTAAAACATATGAAAAAATAATTTAGTTGTGGACCATAAATTAGTGTATAATTTATTTTTTCTTTCGTTTTGCATTTTTATCCACAAGCATCATTTCAGTTTTACGTTTTTGATTAGTTTTAGATTGCGGAGTATTCGTTGGTGTGCCCGAATTTTTAGCAGTCTTCTTCTTTTTCTCTTGACGTTCTTTTTCTTCAAGTTCAAGATTTTCACGCTCAATTAAAGTGATAAGAGTATTGCAGCGACGCTGCAACTCCAATGCTGTACGTGATTTTATAAACCAATCAAATCGAAACTGCGCAGAGCAACTGTTAAAGAAATCGTTTGAATTTATTCTATTTTATAAAACAAGTGTTATATATTACCGAATTCCAGCACGTAATTCCTCATAGACATTTTCTTTATCAAAACCCAATTTATGCAACATACAAACCAAATAGCGGTCTTCATTTTCGGTATAGTTTTTTCCTTTATTGTTTCCATATTGTAAACGTAACTGATGGAAAGGGGCGCGATAGCGACACATCTACAATTTTTGTAATATATATATTATATTTATCATTTCAAAAATATATATGAAATCTAAATCCTCTTACTGTTAAAATTTTTAATTTGTTATTTATTAATAAAACAAAATAATAAAAAATAATAGAAAAAAATTTTTGTCTCTAGATATATGAAATTGAAACAAATTGATATTCGATTTCTAATTTACAATTGATTTGAATTTATTTACCCTATGAGAATTATTACCAATAGTTGACAAATCTAATATTCTTTCTTAGATCCTCAACTTGATTAATAGCCAATCATCAGAGCTCCTAGATGGCTTCAATTAATTGTCCCTATCATTTACCTCTCAATTCTAAGTTTTGGACCGGCGACTATTACACGTACAAAACCTCACTATTAATGTTTTTTTGCATGAAAATATTCTTATTTAGTATATTTCCTATAAACATATGCAGTAGTAATTTGCACAATATAAAATAAATATAAAATATATATAAAACAAAAACATTATATGTACTTTACGAAGTATAATACATATATTATATATAATATTATATATAAAATATTTAATATATAAAATGTATGAAAGAGTTAAAAATATATAAAATATGTAAATAAAATATTAAAAAAATTTCTTAAATTCATTCCTTGCATCATAATTAAAAAAAAAAAAAAACAAATATTAATTTTACTCATACCTTTTGATCTAAAGCCTTTTTAATAGACAAGCGTCTTTGAATTTTAGCTTCACCGCGTTCAATTTGTCCCATGATACGCTCAATATCTTGCAGCTCATGGCATCGCTCCCAAAATACAGCATTATATTCTATAACCTCTTCAGGCGTCTTTCCTTCAACATCTTTTGAAATATTTTCTATATCATCTCGACCATATTTTTCATTAGCTTTAATAAACTGATTAAAATCACGTTTTGTCCATGTAGTAAAACCCTGAGTTAATAAGGATTCTTTTTCAACAATTTCTTCCTCACTCAACGGTTCGGCCTCATCAATTTTACGTTGTTCTTCACGTTGTACTTTAGATGCTTCAGAGCCAAGTTCGGGATTTTTTGGCACTTTATACCCAACCGTTTTACGAAAATAGTAAATTTCTTGATCAAGTAACTCAAACAAGCGCGGTGGGAAGAATTGAAAATCTTGCACTATAGGTTGTTTCGGTGGACGTGGTGCTTTTGGCGCTTTTGGTTCAGATACTCGCAATGCTTCTCGGAAGTAAGCATCCACAGCATAATTGGCTTTGCGTTCACGTTTTGGTGGCTCAATCCAATCACCCAAAGCATTCAGTTTTTGTTTTTCACGATAATCTTCGCCTTCAAATTGGTATACTGAAGTGCTAGCACCTTCACCATTAGTATCAACCGTAAATGTACGTAATGAACTCTCTCCCAACTGATCTAATTTTGCTTTTTCTTCTGCTGTTTTAGCTTCACCACGCTCTAATATTGTATCTATGTCTTCGTCTGTCAATTCAGAATCTTTCGAAGCAAAGACATGATTTGCACCGAAACGTATAATATTTAACATTTCATCTTTATTTAGTTGATTTGTGCGATTGTCAACTAAACGACCCTGCTGTATTACCATTTTGTCTAGACGCAATTTAACTTCAGCACGTTCAACAATTTTTTCTTCCACCGTGTTTTCTGTTATGAACCTAAACACACGTACTTGCTTCTTTTGGCCAATACGATGTGCGCGATCCATAGCCTATTCAAAAATAAATATATTTCAAGTTATTGTATTTTTATGTGTAAAACAAATTTATTCCTTACTTGCAAATCCATTTGAGGATTCCAATCAGAGTCATAAATTATAACAACATCGGCAGTAGCTAAATTAATACCCAAACCACCAGCACGTGTAGACAACATGAAAATGAATTTGACACTGTTGTCCATATTATATTCTTGAATTTGTCTATTTCGATCTTCATGTGGAGTTTTACCATCAAGTCGACAATATTGATAATTATGCCACAAACAATAATCTTCTAAAATGTCCAGCATGCGTGTCATTTGTGAAAAAATCAGCACTCTGGAACCTTGAGCTTGAAGTTTTGGTAATAATTTATCCAGAATAACCATTTTACCGGAATTAAAAACTAAATGAGTATCTGTGGTATATGGTGGGCCCGGTTCAGCACCATCGAACAGATATGGGTGATTTGTACATTTACGCAACTGCATCAAAATGTTTTGT